CTCTACATTAGTGGGGCAGTTGCCCCCCCTTGCCCCCCTGTAGATCCGCCCCTATACCTGGGGCCTCCTATGACACATCCCTGCAAAACCTCCAAAGGGAGGTGTCCTCAGATGATGATATAATAAAACAAACATTGCTTTTAGACTCAGCTCTTTATTCACCATGACTGACTGGAGCAACACCCTCATTACTGAGGACGAGGCCTCGATGCACGCAATTCACCTCCTGCTCTGTCCTATTATTCATGATATCTAAACTCCTCCACCTGAACCAAAGGAGCCCCCCCGCCCCCGGTCGAAGGTCAGATCATCTTCAAGCCTTGAAAAACAAAGGAGTGGATGAACGAACCGTGAAAATGTYTCAACTTTTACATCTTCGGCTCCTTTAAGAACATAACAACCTTGGATTAGTCTTAGTTTTATTAACCTCACATTCCYGAGAGCAGGAGGTGTTTTATCTCCCGTTTACCGCCTCGTTTCTGAACAGAGTTTCAACAGAAAGCTGAATTCTGTGGTGAAACATAAAAACACAAACTTAAACACAGATTAATAACTGCAGTGGAGCATTTATTCACAATAAAACAAGAACAGATATTGCACAATCGGTGCATTAATAATTTGTAAAGACATATTTTATCACTGAAACTTCAGCCTGAGGAGCTTTTTTAATCATTCTGTTAAATGTGAGAAATAAGTGGTCAGTTCTCACTTATTTTAACTGTAAAAGTCACAGAATGGTTGATCTTAAGAAAAAAAATATGTACACCAACAGCACCCCCTGCTGCAAATAACTTCCTAACAAAGTTCCTTTTTTTTGTTTTTCCTACAATCCAAAACTCAAGAAAGCTGATGAATCATAATTTGTATAATTAAACAAAGAAAACAGACCTAAATCGACTTCCTGTCTTGTTTGTTGAAACACGATCTGAGCTTCAACATCAGTTATCATAAAAACTGGGTCTGATTAGAGAAATAAATCTGATCGGAGGTTATTATTTATAAATTACCMCAAGAAAGTTTTCTGAGCGACTTTRGTCATGATGAGCAAACAGACAGAKACTAACCTTCAGTTTCTCATCAGATTTTCTTGGTTTTAAGATTTAAACTCAAGTTAAAGTTCAAACGTAAATCCTCTCCTGCAGAATAAGTTCCTGTGAGAGTTCATTTGTTTCATTTTGTGCACCTGAAGGATTCACGGYGGCGGCGGGTTGGCGGCGGCGGCGGCCCTCAGGATGCCGCGCAGCACCTTGAAGTTGCTGAGGGGCTGGTTCTCCTTGGGGGGGAAACAGGGGCCACGTTCTGTCGCGTAGGAATAAGGGAAGCGCAGAACCCAGAAGCCGTCAGGCGGCAACACGACCTCTGACTGCTCTGTGTAGAAGATCGGGCAGGGAGGGGGGCCAGGCTGGACCTGAAAACAACAAAACACTCAGCTTTTACTTTGAAATCTACACAGGAAACACAATGATGTATTTCTGTTAGATTTAAATACTGCAGGAGGAAAGATCAGCCTAGGCCACCAGTGGTGGGCACCAGTCCGCTAAAGCACAAATCCGCTAATTGCAGACCTAAATATTTCGTTGAACAGCAGAAGATATGACTGTCAATGAATCACAACACATGTGATCTATCCAACAGCACCCCTCCCAGATAAACACWCTTATTGTGAAGGTATACATCCTGCTGACTGTTGCTTTGGTCAGGGTTCTCATTTCCCACAATGCTTTGTGTCTGCTTACGTAGCAGGAAGGCAATGTTTAGAACTCCCTGTCCCAGAAAAAACAGTAAACGTTTGTAATTCATACTAAATTTCTGTATGTATTGATTTATTTTACTTTACAATCGGAGCTCCTTTTAAAAAATAAAATAAAAAAAGTTTAAACGCT